CTTATTAATCTGAATATTGAGTCAGATTTTTTTCATTCGTATCGGAAGTTTTTTATTTTGATTTCAATATTATTTGTTCAAAGTGAACAAATCGATCATTTAAACCATAGATCAGCATCAATCATTAGTTTAGTAATATTGTGAGAAGTTGCACCTAACAATAATTGAAATTTAATTATCTTCATTGAAATTTGAAAAATAATGTAATGATTAGTAATTAAATTTTTTTTCCAATTAACTATTGAGTAAATATTTGTAAATGTAATGGAAGTATTTTTCGATTAACCAAATAATCGTCAATCTTCTGAACTCAGTTATTGATTGATAAAATAATTCGAAATTTGAATATTTAAATCGATGATTAATTTAATAATTAACAAATTGGTGGGTAACATTAACATCACCATCCACTCATCCTTATTAATCTGAATATTGAGTCAGATTTTTTTCATTCGTATCGGAAGTTTTTTATTTTGATTTCAATATTATTTGTTCAAAGTGAACAAATCGATCATTTAAACCATAGATCAGCATCAATCATTAGTTTAGTAATATTGTGAGAAGTTGCACCTAACAATAATTGAAATTTAATTATCTTCATTGAAATTTGAGAAATAATGTAATGATTAGTAATTAAAATTTTTTTTCAATTAACTATTGAGTAAATATTTCTAAATGTAAATATAAATGAAAGTATTTTTCGATTAGCCAAATAATCGTCAATCTTCTGAACTCAGTTATTGATTGATAAAATAATTCGAAATTTTAATATTTAAATGGATGATTAATATAATAATTAAAAAATTGGTAGTATTACCAATTGACTTATTCAAAATTTAACTTGAATAAAACTTTATGATTATTCCGATATCTGAAGACCTTGGTAAACGCAATATTAGGAAAGTAAAATTATTCCAAATGATTTGGACAATTATGATTTGTTTATTCATATTTCATCGAATGGAATTTAATTCTCTTTTCATTCTTGCTTTCTCCATTCGTTCGAGATCTTGCCCATGCTTTTTTGGAGAGAAAATATTCAGGATTACTCACGTGACGTGTTTCAGGACCCCCATGAGAAGCTATTCGCCTGGAAAATGATATTCTTCGTCACTGCCGTATTCTACGTAATCGAGATCGTCGTCTACTGGACATTTGGCACAGCTGTCGAGCAATCTTGGAACAACACTGACTCCCCTCATCCACAGACAGTGCCATTAGATAAATACGAAGAGTAGATTAATTCACCGTAAAATTACCAGGAAAATTCGCAGGGCAAAGTGAAGACTTTTTAATTATTTCCCAAATACGCATAATATTTTTCACTCATCTCTCATTTCATCAATAATTCGTCACACCATTAACTCGAAGAAACTCAAATCAGCAGTGAAGTGGTGAAACAGTTCAAGTCGACTCATCTCCCAGTTGAGTTTTTGAGGAATATTTCCGGATCTAAGGGAGATAGCAAAATTTTTGTTATAGCATTTTTTGTAGTTCTCAATCGGCTCTACAAAAAAGGTTATAACAAAAATTTCGCTATCTCCCTTAGATTCCGAGATATTCACCGAAAACTGGTCAATAGTCAAAATTGACTTGAACCGTTTTACCACTTCGCTACTGAAATAATTTCATTCAACCCAATTATCGTGTTAAGTTCAACTTGCAATATATTCTGACTGATCTCTTTTCTCAATCACACATTATTTACAAGAGCCACATCTTCAGTTGTACACTAATCACTGAACTCTCACGATTTTACTGAAATACGTTGGTCCAAAGTTCGATTTTCTCGTGGGCAACACTACAGTCCCATATTTAAATCCAAAGTCGTCGGCAAATTTGTAAATCGTTCTCAGTGGTCCTAGTCCCTCCGTGATGTCCCTAGAAATGCAAAAATAGTGACTGAATTACACGAAAAACATTAAATCGCATTATTCATTGGATCATTGATTAAAAAATAGTTTTAAATTCTTCATTCAATTTTTATATTCAAAAGGAAGAAGAACAATCCTGTGTGGGTAAATTATTATTACTTTTATTATTGTTATTTGTTAAGGAAAAGAATGGCTGGGATACGTCTCATTCCAGTGTACAAAGAATCAAATTAAAAAACTGAGCAATAGAAAATATTTAATTAGCATTCTTACTTGACAACCATGACGGACTGTGTCTCCTCCCAATTTTTCTTGAGGGCCATCTGCACAACCCCGTCATTCTGTATAGGACTGAGTGAACATGTGGAGTAGACAACAGTTCCTCCGATCGGAAGGATCTTCAGGGCTTGAAGTAAAATGGAGGACTGATACTCCGGTAGTTGCAGTCGCTCCTTAATTCGGTTTGGGGAGAACATATTGGTGTCGTCGTTGTGGAGACTGTGGCGATCTGTTGTGCATGGAACGTCGACGAGAATCTGGAAGGATTGAAAGTGGGAATAGATGAAAATTTTGTTGGGTTGTGATTTCATTCTTTCGGGTTGACTGAGGCGGATTTAATTAGCAGAATTAATTTTTTTTCATCAATTTAAGTTCAAACAGACTCGTCGAATTTTTGAAATAGTTGAATAATTGGTAATCTAAATTTACAATTGATGATGAATTAAATATTCGATGATGTGGAACTGTAAATTTTTGTTAAATAAAAATACCAAATGATCGTCAATCTTTCGAGATCTAGGAAATCAATTCATAACCCTCCCCTCATTTTTCAATCACTACAAATTTTAGTGAGATTATTTTAAAAAGTAAAAAAAAAGAATTAATCGAAGATTAAAAATTATTCATTGATGTTTCACTCTTCATTCTCTCAATCCTCTTCAAGTCATTATCAATATTTATAAAACACCTATGAGTACATGAAGTTTAATAAATTCGATTTCTTCATTTTCACAACGAATAAATGAGCGCCCGCACAGTTCTAGTAATTACAATTTATGAATACGAATATATCTCCGTTCCTCGGACTCTCGACAGACCAGAGTATTTAGTCAGAATAAAAGCCAATACCTTGTTGTATATATTTTTGTCTTCTATGACCCTAGCGTCCTGCTGGGTGACGAATAATCTCCCGTTCCAGACGTCGAGGTCCCCCAGATACTCCTCTAAAACGTTGTTAATTAAGTTGACTCTCGACATTTTCTGGTCATTAGCGACTAGAACCGAAGGTAAAAGGGTCTGCAAGGCAATCAGGGATTTTCCCCCAGGGGCTGCACACATGTCCAACACAACATCTCCAGCGTGGAGGTCCAGGGCCAGGACTGGAAGCACCGAGCCTCCATCCATCAGATAATAGTCTGATAAAACAAAAATTGCAACCAAATAAAAGCATTCAAAATTCAACAATTCAGTAGTGAAGTGGTAAAACCATTCACTTTACGTTTCTTTCATCTTCACTTAATAGAAATATTAACATAATCGATCTCCAATGTATCACGTGTTTTACCCCTTGGCTACTGAATTAATTAATTAATTAATTCAGTAACCAAGTGGCAAAAGGAGATAAGTCGATTTCGACTATTGCCAGTTTTCAATCAATATTTCGAAATCTAAGGAAGATAGAAAATTTTTTGATAGAACCTTTTTTGTAGAGCCGATTGAGTGCTACAACAAATGTAATGACAAAAATTTCGCTATCTCCCTTGGCTACTGAATAATTCAGTAACCAAGTGGTAAAAGTAGATAAGTCGATTTCGACTATTGCCAGTTTTCAATCAATATCTCGAAATCTAAGGAAGATAGAAAAATTTTTGATAGAACCTTTTTTGTAGAGCCGATTGAGTGCTACAATAAATGTAATGACAAAAATTTCGCTATCTCCCTTGGCTACTGAATAATTCAGTAGCCAAGTGGTAAAAGTAGATAAGTCGATTTCGACTATTGCCAGTTTTCAATCAATATCTCGAAATCTAAGGAAGATAGAAAAATTTTTGATAGAACCTTTTTTGTAGAGCCGATTGACTGCTACAATAAATGTAATGACAAAAATTTCGCCATCTCCCTTGGATTCGGAAATATTCCTCAAAAACTCAACTGGGAGATCAGTCGACTCTCTCCGTTTACCACTTCACTCTGAATTAAATTCATCAGAGTCTCATTACTCATTACTAATGACTCTCCCTCACCATAAACCCCAGTGGACCCCCTCTTGGGGGCGGGAAAATGGCTGTCATTGCCAGCCTCGAATGTAAAAATTTTGAGATGCTCTGGGAACGAAAAGCTCGAGTCCTCCTCGACTTTGATTTCAAAGTCTGCACTCTTGGAGTAGTAGCCGTAGTGCTCGGACTCCAAGATGTAATCGTCCAGGCCCTTCAGCTTCGTCGCAGGCATGTACTCGTGGAGAGAGGACGCTGTCAGCCCTGCGGAGGGTCTCACTATTCTGCTCTCGTCGAGTTGAGCAGCTGCCAGGTCCTCCTCCAAGGGCCTGAGGGTCACGGGCTCGAAGGGCTTCTCCAGCGGGGGGAGACCGTCGTCTTCCTGGTCCAGGGCCTTCAACGAGGGCTGGTAGCCCTCGGGGACGAGGGTCTTCAGCTCGGAGTAGGTCTTCATCTCCAGGACATTCTCCATGGGAAGGTCCATTTTGTAAATCGGTTTCGTGGGCTCCAGCTGCTGCTTCTTTCTGTCCCTGTCAGCTTTACTCTTTTTCGATACTTCGTAGAGCTCCTTCATGTCCATGGCACCTTCGAGCTGCAATTTCACAATTTTATCTGGATTTTTTTTTATCTTTAGGAATCAAAAATTGTCAATTCAGTGGTACCTCATGTAGCAATTACCAAAAATTATGATAGAATGATAAAAAAAACAGAACAAATTCTGAACTTTTTCAAAGAGCATTTTTAATTGGGATTCAGAATGAGTTGAGAAAAGTGGAAATTACAAATATCTGATTCGCTGTGGCAAATTATCTATTAGCTGTCATTTTCCATGGTGGAAGTGACAGCTAGGTATCTCAATTTTCAAAACAGTGGTGTGTAGTCATCTGCCATTTTTATGTGATAAAAGTGTGATTAAAAAATTCTCCAAAATATTACAACTTTTTTCAAAGAGCCTTTTCCGTAATAAATGTCTCTGTGCAGTGTGGGAAAAGATTTACGAAATCAGTCTTCCCCCTGCATGATATTGGGTGAGAGGCCGTCATTCAACTTATTCTGAATATAAATTAAAAATGCTCTTTGAAAAAATTAAGAAATTTTTCTACTTTTTTTTCGATTATTCATTCATAATTTTTCAAAACTTCCACATGATGCAGGACTTAATTGACAATTTCAGATGACGAAAGATGAAAAAAAAACATCGAGTTAACGTTGGAAAGATAGTACACCCAGGCCTTAATAGAAAAACTATCGAATTCGTTAAAAAATTCTATTGAATTTCTATTGAACTGTTCTATTAGTTTTTGGGCGATTCTATTGAAATGTTCAGTAGAAAATATTCAGTAGAAAAAGTCAATACAATTCAATTTTTCTGTATAACTTATTCTATTGAGATATTTTCTACAGAATTTCCTCGGCTCAAATTTTCCAAGTTTTTTCGTTTGATTTTCTTGATGAGAAGAAAAGAAAAATAGAGTGAAAAAAACTTGGAAAATTTGAGTCGAGGAAATTCTAGAGGAGGTTGGGGTAAAATGGACACTTTTGACTTTTTTTAAAATGTCAATGACGGGTTGAAATGTTGATAAAATTCAAGATTTTTTTTTTCATTGCAAAGAACAATTCTTTCCCTTTGTGATGAGCCTGAACGGAGCTCAATTGATAAATTTGTTTCTCAGTTATGAGGTATTAAAACAAAAGTCTAAAGTGTCCATTTTACCCCACTCTCCCCTATAGAAAATAAATGAAAAGAATGAGTTACAAAGAAAAATCGAATTCTGTTGACTTTTTCTATTGAACATGTCAACAGAATCAGCCAAAAACTACTAGAAAGTTTAATAGAAATTCAATAGAATTTTCCAACGAATTCGATAGGTTTTTCTATTAAATTTTTTCGTGCGTTTTGGGACGAATGTCAGGGGGAATTCATTCTGGATGGGCTGAGGGAATCATTTGAAATGCTTTGGGACAGTACCTGCAGCTTCTGCACTATGTCCTCGGTGTCGGAGAAATTATTTACAATAGCTACGTATTTGTGGGTTTTCTTCAGCATGGCTGCTCTTATGTGCGGCCAGACGGAGCCGTAAACGGTGGAGTAGAAGTCGTTGAAGTGCTCTAGGGCTTTGTCTTTGGCGTTTTTTTTCTTCTTTAAGACACTCTGGGAGAGGTATTGTCGGCATTAAAATGGGTAGAATTTTAGGGAAGGGATTTGGGAGGGCGCAGAGATTATTAACTGATGATAACTGGAGCTATCTGACCCCTTTATCTGGCTTTAGCCCTTATTTTTGTCAGAAAGACTGAAAAATGCGCTAAAAACATTCCGAAATTTTGAAATTCCATTCAGAAGATAAAATTTTTCGACATTTCACGTATGAAAAAATTCAATAATAAAAACAGCGAATTCCCTAGAAAATTCTAACAAGAATTCAAAATATATTTCCTTTTTTTTAAATAAAAAATTTTGAAAAAATTTCCAGAATGTCTTCGGAATATTTTGTACTGTTCGAGGATTTCTCAAGATTTTCTGAAATCTTAGAAATACTGAAATCATGAAATTCAGTGCACAAGTTTTTCTGAATTCAGGAAAAGATTTTATTTGCAAACAAATTTTCGAAAATGTTTTAAATGTTTTGAAATGCCACATTCAACAATTACGGCCGTTTCACTTTACTTGTCATGTTCACTATTTTTCTCTTCTCTTTGCTGCTTGACATTTATGTTAACGTCTATTATGTTATAGTTCCTACATTTATAAACAATTATAAATACAATGAGATTCCTTTTGACGCTTTGGAATCCTCTAAAATCCCTTGAAATCCTCGAGGATTCTCCATAAAAGTTATTTCGGCGTGTTCACGGAAAAAACAATAGTTCACCCTCCGAAAATTCCATTTCTCCCAAAACCACTCACCCAGTGATTAGGCCCATGTCCCCTCTTGCAGCTCCAGAGGACACTCCTGACCCCCAGGAACGCCACCCTCTGCGTCATGTCTCCCCAAAAAAGTAAATACTCCCCAAATCTCCCCACGTGAACGTCAAAAGCCGATCCCTCCGGAGTCCTCCGAGGTTAGGGATGATCGATGATTGTCGATTAATCGAAAACACCGATTTTTCACGCCCCAACATCGATGTTTTCCATTCGATGTTGTTAACGCCCGATTAATCGATTTTCGATTATTTTCCCAACATCGATTTTTGAAAAAAAAAAAAAAACGAGTAGAAAAAAAATATTTTTAAAAATTATCTGAAAAAAAAAATTTTTTTCATGAGAAAAACATCGATTTTTTAAATTATCGAAACCATCGATTTTTTAGATGATCGAAACAATCGATTTTTTAGATAATCAAAAACATCGATCTTTTGAAATATCGACGTTTTTTTTTCAGAAAAATCGATTCACAACATCGCTATATTTGAAAAACCTCGATCCCCCGATAATCGATATTTTTTAGAACATCTCCCACGTGCCCCCTGCCTTACCATCCTCTCAACCCCGCCACTACGGACATCTACCCGAGACCTCCAAAACCCCCACCCCACTCCCACGACGCCTAGCCCCCCCGCCCCCCAGTGCTGCGTCGAATCGAGCATCAGATGCCAAAGTGACAGCTCTCGACTCGCATCGGCCCCTCGCGTTGTTGACATTCGTTGTGCCCAGTGATCGGGGCGTTCGTATTCCCGCATCACTCCTCCACAAAAAAACTGGACTAAAGTGTTAACCTCGCGTCATCGCAAGGTGCGGCCAGTCCTGCCTCGACATCCGAAAAGTCACGAGTGCTAGAAAACGTGAGACTCTTTATTCACCCCGACCCCTCGAAAAACAACAAACAAAACTCGCCAACCGTTCGCCCTACGTTACCCCATCAATTTCCATTCCGTCGATCCATCTCACCCCACTCCATATTGATCTCCATAAATAATGGCACTGCAACCATTCCGTGCAGTTCACTCAGTTCTCCCATGCACTCGGAATCTCGCGGCGATAGTAAATCGAGACTCGTGTGTACTACAGATACGATAGTCACCGTTCGCCCCCCCCCCCTCTTTTTTTCTCAATCCTTCCGTGTTTATTTCTACCGGCGTCACTTTCTATCGAAGCATCAATTTCCCTCGAGTGGTACTCGCCGGGGCTGGGGAGGTAAATCTCCGGGGAGTGCACGAGCAAAAAAAAATGCAAAAAACTAAATTACACGGGGGTGGGGGGTCTGACGGTGCGCCTCCGGGATCGATTCTTCTCCAAAGCCCGCGGCTCTATAATTAGAAGAGCTCCGCGGCTCTCCCTCGCTCTCATTACGAGATTTTTTCTCCGTTTTGTTTTCGTTTTTTGAACTGATTGAAGTTGTAGTCACCTCTGGAGGCGATCGATCCGAAGCTCCCATTGACGGCGGGTTTTTCAGGGGCTTGTCGCGATCATTTTTTTGTTATTGCGGAGTTTATGGTGATTGTTTTTTATGCATGACAATCGCGCTCGG